GGTCATTCGACTACGTGCGGTCATCCTGAGCGGCCGAGATCCTATTGATCCCTTGCAATGCCGGCCACCACTCCGTCCCAGCTCTCTAAAAAAATAAAGCCGTCCTCTCCAGTTGTCCCCACCGTCACCCCGCTGATGGATGATGATGCCGTCGAACTACTACATCAAATTCACGGCATCATCAGTCAAAAGGCCACAGAAGCTGTGCCGCTCCTGGAAAAGTTTGTAGGTAAGTTTCCTTCATTATCGGCTAGATTTGTTGAGTCCGAAAAACGAGAAAGGTCTGTAGTATTCCATGGTATTCCTGAAGGCGACCCTCATCTCCCCGCACTTTCGCGTCAAGAACACACAGAAAAATTCGTTTGTGGTGTTCTCAACTTTTTGGATATCGAATGTCGTCCTTCAGAAATCTATAGGATGGGAAAGCCTAGTTCGGATAAACCAAGGATGGTAAAATGCACTTTTCCGAATCGATTCTTTTGTCGTGATATGCTCGCAAAATCATCTCGTCTCAGAAACAACTTGACCTACAGCAAAGTTTTTGTTCGAAAATCGATGACTCTCGAAGAAAGGCTTCATGAAAAAGAATTGCGCGCCACCGCTCGTGATCTCAATGCAAAAGAAGGTAAGCGCATTTATGTTGTTTATAAAAGTGAAATTGTAAAAGTAGCTGATCTTCCCCCTCGTGATAATGGTTCAAAAAAGTGAAAATACAAAACCCTGTTAGTAAGTGTTGTTTTATTCTTAACGCTAGAAGTTTGATAAACAAATTGACACAACTCCACCATCTTTTTTCCGAATCGAAACCTGCACTTGTATTGATTACTGAGTCGTGGCTGACCTCAAATATTTCTGACGGTGAGATATGTGGAGGTCTTCGTATACGGTATACGTATTGATTAGAAAAGATCGATCGGGAAGAAGGGGGGGGGGGACGGGTGTGTGCTCTTATCCACAGTGCCATTCTTTTCAAAGAAGTCACGCTTTCTCTCAAGGGTCTCTTATCAGACCTTGTTTGTTTTGATTGCATATGTAAAAATTCCTGTTTGAATTATCGATTCATTCTGGCCTATCGATTGCCTACCGCCATCGAGCACTGCGGGACAGGATGATCTGCTTGTGTCCTTGATATCTGATCTGGCATCCTCTTGTGAATCAATAGTGGTTTTAGCGGGAGATTTGAATTTGGATATTGACTGGTGCAATAATACTGCTATGAATTCTAGTTCAAGAAAGTTTCTTTCTACTTTTGAGGCATTGAATATGATACAACATGTTCGATTTCCCACTCGAGGAGATCGCATATTAGATGTTGTGCTGACAAATACAGATTCTCTCGCAGACTTTCCGTTACATCCACCTCTGGGTGATTCAGATCATAACATTGTTGAATTTTCTATGTTGATTGCAAAAGGAGAGCTGCCTGAGACCTCGTACATAGACTTCAAGCAAGCCAAAGTAGATCAGATCAAATCTCTCTTATCCTCGCTTGACTGGCTCGAAATTTTCGATGGTTTCTCGGATGTAAACGATGTCTACACCCGTTTCCTTTGTGTCTTACGTGCAATCATAAATCAATATGTACCACGTAGGACTCGTAGGCAGGGCGTAGTAGAATATCCCAACCACATTCGGAACCATTTCGACCAGAGACAGAGAATATTTGAGCAGTCTCGGGACCACTGCACAGCGTAATTTAAAACGGTTAGCCAAAACCTTGCATATCATTTAAAGAAGTTTATGTCCTACTAAACCAGAATGCTCTCTAAGACCAAATACATGAATGGGATCATTTCCTATATCAAGGACAGAACAAAACGGTCGTCCTCTCAACCAGTGCTCATAGGTGAGGATGGATCCTTTTGCAGTGCCGATTTTGAAAAAGCGGAAGCCTTCGATAGCTTTTTTCACAGTACTTTTTCTTCCCACAAGGAATGTCATAACAACCTAACAAAAGTAACAGATGAGAGCTTTCGTTTGCCAATTATCACTCCCGAGATGGTTGCAAAACAAATTAAAGCTCTGAAAACGTCGCAGTCGGTTACCTCGGATGGCACACCGCAGACATTTTACAGAATGTTTCCCAACCATCTTTCCGTTCCCCTAAGCCACATTTTTAACATTTCTCTAATGACAGAGGAAATCCCTAATCCATGGAAAGCTGCTGTTGTTACACCTATCCCAAAAGGGAAGGAATCTGCAACGGTTAGCAACTACCGCCCGATTAGTATCCTCCCTACATCATTGAAGGTGCTTGAGAGGATCATTAAGAAACATTTGCTTAAATGGTTAGAACACCTAAATCTCATTCCCATAGAACAACATGGATTCCTAGCAGGATCTTCCACCTGTTCACGGTTGATAGATTGTTCTTTCCGTTGGAACAAGGCATTGGGTGAAGGGAAAGGGGTTGATGTAGTTTACCTCGATCTTAGCAAAGCCTTTGATACCGTTTGTCATGAGTGCCTTGTGGAGAGATTGCGGTGTATAGGCATAGAGGGCGTTTTACTGGATTGGTTTCTATCCTATCTTGAGAATAGAAAGATTAGTGCGCTTCTCTCATGACTTTTCCTTCCCTAGGGAATGCCTATCGGGAGTTCCACAGGGAGGGATTTTGTCGCCCATACTTTTTCTTATATACACACATGATTTACCTGCTTTTCTCAAAACGGATACGAGGATTTTTGTGCATGCGTACGCGGATGACATCAAAGTCACTGCAGTCTTTAGTGAAACAGAAAAAGAAGCAGTTCAGCAGGCTTTGACTAAAACTGTCGAACGTATGTTGCAGTGGACAAATTTTTGGCATCTCAAAGTCAATTTTCGTAAAAGCCAGCATCTCCCCATAGGATCGCTTTCACTGAACGTTTATAACAATGAGCTAGGTGATATGTTAGTGAGCAGAGAAGTTCGTGATATTGGCGTGCTAGTTTGCAATGGTTTAAACTTTGAGAGCCATATTGATGCGGTGGCGGCCAAGGGCTTAAGGGTTTTGCACTGTCTTTTTAGAAATGTTTCGAGTTCTGATCCATTTCTTTGGATCAAACTTTTCAAAATGTTCGTGTTGCCACTGATTGAATACTGCGGCCCTGTATGGAGTCCTTATCGCTCCAAGGATATTAACAAAATTGAAAGTGTGCAGAGGACGTTTACCAGAGTACTCTACTACCGAGTCTTCCCGGACCCAAGCTATCCGCAGGGTCTACCCCCATATAAAGTTCGCCTGCGCGCGTTGAACCTCAAGAGTCTTTTTTACAGAAGGGTAGAAGCTGACTTGATTTTAGCCTATAAGATTCTCAAAGGGGAACTTCGTTTAAAGCCCTCAAGCTATTGGGCATTTCGCCCGGTGTACGGACGGCATGGCGGTTTTGCCTTCCGACTCAAGCTACCGAGCGCAAATCGTCTGAGGTGTACGAGTTCCTTCTTTTTCAGAGTCGCCAAATGGCTGGAACGTTTGCCTACTACTCTTTTATGCCTTAAAAATTCAGCACACTTCAAAACTGCCATCCGAAAAATGAACATTCTTCAAGTGCTAGGCATACGTGACGTGGAATGAATTCATTTGTTGCTGTTCTTGTCTTTTTTATCACTCGCTTTTTGTTTTGACTGTATGTTCCCTGCACTGCAGTAACGAGCACAGGCTACCTTTTGTATGTTTTCCTAGCTCTCCCGTGTCTTTTCCAGTGCTTCTCAACTCCGGGTGTACCTTTCGTCATACAGCTTTTCTCACTTTGTATTACCTCCTCTGGTACCTCCAGTCAGATTCTGTATTACCTCCTCTGGTACCTCCTGTCAGATTCTCTGAAGTCTTTTTGTTTCGGGTTGCTTCTGACCGTTGCACTACACTGGCGGTAATACTAGTATTCTGGGGCGTTGTGTTGTCTTCTTCCGCCACTCCGGTCTGTCATAGCGGGTTCGTGGGGAGGGGCGGGGGTTTCGGTGAGCGGCGGTACTGGCGGCCCCCTGCCAGTACACCCGTTTTGGCTATCTGGCGAGGGCGGCCAGTATAGCCGATCGCCGGGCCTCCGCTCTGTCCCCACGACTTGGGATGCTTGATCGGGCTGACGGGCGAAGAGGGAATGAGCTAGTCAACGTTTCTTTTATTATCTCTTTCCTCCAGAGAGTGCAAAGTAGGTTGGACAAAGATCTGGATGACTTATTCATTTCAATACGATTGTTCCTTTGTTGGTTTTTTTCTTTCTTTTCATGTTTTCTATTGATTTGTCGTTTTACACCCTGTTCTGATCTGGTTTGTTGTATTGAAGCGCGCCGCTTGGCGTACAAAATAAATAAATAAATAAAAACAAGTGCCAATAACGCTAATAACAGCACTAATAAATGCCATTGCCAAAAGCAACGTACTCCTACATTGATAAACACCAAAAAGCAAGCAAAGCACCAGCCTAATTAGGTTTGATATCACTGGATCAAAGCAGACTTCCCGAAATCCAATTACTCGCATGTATCCGTGTTTCCTGTTGCCTTTTTCATCAATGAACACAGAGGGTTCCGGAACTCATTGGGCTCGCGGACCCAGTAAGTTCCTTGGGTTTGCGAACCCACAAGGTTCCTTCGTGAATACCGATCTCGTGGGTTTACCCTATCCACTAGGTTCCGGCACCCACTGAGTCCGTTGATGAACACGGCCACCGAAGCACTACTCTGAAAACTTCTCACAGTGTTTCTCAAACATATGTCCTCCGTCCTTCTGCCTTGGAAGATACAGATCTTCAACAGAAAAAAAAAGAAAAACAACATCTACACATGCACATCATTTATCAGTACGGATTCTTAACAATTTAAAACCGATAAATTCTCAGTCATATATATTTGCTCAATGAAAAGCAAATAAAGGATACAGAGAACGTGAGCACCATAGGTAACATAACACGAAAAAAGTTTACATTTGATGCACCACCTTCATAAATATGGCTCTCGTCCATAAATAGAAATCAACAATCCTGACAACAGTAGAACGACACTATTTCGCAGGACCCGGCTCAGCTAACGGCGCTGTTATTGGGAGCAACAGAAACGGGAGCGTTTTTCCTGGCCGGCTCTTCTTCTTCTTCAATTGTGAGTTCAAGGTAGCAATCAGTTGCGGTTCCTAGAAATAAAACTGTAGCTGCTCGGCAAGGTAATGAAGAAAAGTGATGATGAAGTAGTAAAAACGTTGAAAATATGCAATTCGCAAGCATTACCTAGCACTGCATCGATCTCAATCAAATTCACATCGAGAGATAAGCCGGCAATTTTAGCAAGCCATTTGGCATCACCAAAAAAGTCGGGCTCAAACTGAGCAACTTCTTTACCAGCTGCTTCATACATCACCTAAAGATGGCGCTTTATGAAAATGTGCACGTAAAACATATCACGACAGACAGAAGCAAGAACACTATATACTACGTGATGTTTTCGTTCTGTGAAAGAATGCAGAAGAACTCAAAAACTTCATTTTTGAATGAAAAGTCAGAACACAACGCTCTGAGATGCGTGCTTGCAATACTCTTCTTCTATTTATAGTAAGTTATAAGTTACCAGTGCGTCACCTCTGCTTCGCAGAGGCTCGCACTGGTCTTACTTTATATGCCATACTCATTCTTGACCAATGGTGGGAATAAAACTCACCACGCAGTGCCGATTATCATGAGTAAAATGTAAACAACTACCCATTTAAAATGCTTTTTTATGTGAGATCGGTGATTTCGCGTGGATGAAACTTTTCGCAGAAGAACAAATACGAATTTGAATAGGTTTTTGTACTCTTTCTGGCTTGGTAGCTACCATAAGGACAGTATGCAACGTGAGCTACATCTCTGTGCAAAATTTTTCTCGAATGCTCAGGTAAAACCATGGCAAATTGATCATTTACGCAACCATTTCTTTTTGGCGTCGTTCTTCTAAAGTAGTGAACTTTTGTCCACTTTTTTGGACTAAAGTCCATGGCTTGCACATCAGCATGCCAAACACATCCCCTATTTTGCAAAAAGTGGTGATACGGACCCAATTTTGCTGGCCAGAACCCAAGTGGTTCCGTTTGACGCGCAGTTTCCGAGGGTCAACTAACAAAACCACTCGTGCTTTTGCACGGTAGGCTCTTATGTTGGTCGCATGTGATGTGCAAAATTTGGGCTCAGGATGTTGGCTGGAACTCGCTTTACGAATTTCGTTACAGACAGACACACAGACATACATACACACACACACACACACACAAAAACACGTAAACAACCTTAGCCCGTTATTATAAGTTATGATAAGTTATCTCCGCTCTCGCACGACCGCTTCGCGTGGACTCTGCATCTCTTTTGCGACCATGCTCTTCAATCACTTTTCCACTACGAGCATGGAAAAGGGGCCTAATCGATTGGACGTGATTAGAGAGCATGTTCGTGGAAGATTTGCAGTGTTCCGCGCCGGAGCGGAGATGCTGATGCACACGACGCTGCAGCTGATAAGCCCTGCACAATAATAGATCATAATATGCGGCAACAGCTAGATTATTAGGTTGTCCCGAAAGTTTTGTCGCTTTTTCGAAACGCCATAAAACTATGCGCAATGTAGATCTGAATGAGTTTTAAGATGCATTCGATGCAGCTCTTCCTTCTCTTTCTTAAGATTACATTTTCGTGCAACAATCTTGTATGCTTTTTTGATAATTGTTACAATTCTGCACCCGTCATTTTTATGTGCTCAAAGTTTTTAAAAACTTCAATTCAATATTCCGGAGATGGCTAAGTATGGCACAAATAGAACAGTTCTCGGTCTACAAGAGGGTACTTTTTGATTCTCCTAATCTGCTGTTTTTAGCTTCAAAAAATTATTTCTTCGAAGGTCTCGATTTTTGGCAAAGTCATGAAACACGCAACTGCAGCAAAAACATGAAAGCTTTTGAAATTTCTGCAAATTAAAACTCCATTGTAATAAACAATAATTATACAACATAACCAAGTTTAATTTGCTTTGAAAATTCAGCTTTTTGGAATTTTCGGTAACTTTACGTGGTAGACGTAATCGAAAAGCCGCGGTTTTTCTTAAATTGATAATTATAGCAGACTTGATAAACGTAGCTCATGTAATCTAAAATAAACACAATGTAGCGAAAGAGTTGCTCTACATAATATTTGTTAGCGCTCTTCAAAAACAGCAAAAAAAATTTTTTTTAAATTCAGGAAAGATTTGGCATTACCGTTGCGCTGCTCAAAAAGCCAAGGCGATAACATCGCAAAGACAAAGTAGATCAAAGAGCAAATACGGCTATGAGAAAGAGGATAAAAATATAAATTGATTGATACCTAGATCGTCCATGGATTGGTGTTCTGTGGCTTATAGTGAGCGACGAAAAAAACCGACAAAACTTTCGGGACAACCTAATATAATGTGAGCTAAGTACAAATGACAAACGGCGATGTTATACAGAGCAACATACTTTATATGTCAAGGATCGAGAATGATGATTGGTATGGATGCACATTACCATCCCAAGAGAACACTATTTGATAATTCAAAAACAACCTAAAATAAAATATGGTATGCCGTAACTTACCACCTAAATTACGCCAAATCTGCTAACAACCGGTATGTATCAGGTTGTCCCATAAGTTTCGTCCGTTTCAATTTTCAATCGCAATAAGTCATGAACTTCTTGGTTTTAGACAGATTCCAAGGTTCCTTTTGATAGAGCAAAGCAAGCTCTACAAAATAACTTTCTTGCTTTCGCACCAGTTTAAATCCATCTCAAGTTTGAAGCCAAAAACCAAAAAGATCCAACCGCCCGAAAAATAAAGAAAAAATCGTAACTCCGTTTAGAAAAATCCTAGAAAATTCCTAACTTGCTCACAGATACCCTATCCACATTAGACGTTTATATATACTGTTGCTGTATTTTTTACTTAAATAGAAATCGAGAAAACGAAAATTTTCATGTTTTTGCCAAAGTGATGCTGTGCTGTTCTCACACAAGTAGTTGTATACTACAGACCAGTACAAGTACAGACACAAATTTTCAGCGCTCTAAAGGCTTTAGTTCTCGAGAAACATTGAATTTAGCTTCGTACAGTCGGGTGTTTCGTCTTAAAACGATTATTTCTCGAGAACTAAAGCCTTTAGAGCGCTGAAAATTTGTGTCTGTACTTGTACTGGTCTGTAGTATACAACTACTTGTGTGAGAACAGCACAGCATCACCTTGGCAAAAACATGAAAATTTTCGTTTTTTCGATTTCTATCTAAGTAAAAAATACAGCAACAGTATATATAAATGTCTGATGTGGATAGAGTATCTGTGAGCAAGTTAGGAATTTTCTAGGATTTTTCTAAACGAAGTTACGATTTTTTCTTTATTTTTCGGGCGGTTGGATCTTTTTGGTTTTTGGCTTCAAACTTGAGATGGATTCAAACTGGTGCGAAAGCAAGAGAGTTATCTTGTAGAGCTTGCTTTGCTCTATCAAATGGTACCTTGGAATCTGTCTAAAACCAAGAAGTTCATGACTTATTGTGATTGAAAGTTGAAACGGACGGAACTTATGGGACAACCTGATAATAATCACACCTTCACTTCCTCTTCTTTCGCTTCCCTAATATCTAGAGCTGGATCATAGCGCTAACGTGGCCAACCAGCCAAATCTTTCTGCTTCAATATCACCTCTATCTATAAAAAAGAAAAATAGCGATGAAAAAACCGACATGACTTAGAGACATCCTAAGAACGTGCTACTCGGAAGAAATTCAACTCACCTCATAGTAGTATAACATCTAGGAAGCCATCCCTCTAATAACTGCGCGACATGAAGGGCTTCTTCCTCTATATTCTAAAAAAAGCATTTTGAGGAAATAGACGTGCTATTACGAGGGTGCGATGCTAACCTTACCAATTCGTTGTTTCCTTCACACGCTGTACTGACCCTATGTTGACATCAAAGACCCTAAATTCTATCATTTTTATGCTAAGGCCTTGTGCAGAGTCCATGCGATTTTATCGCGAATATTTATTTTATTCCAACAAGACAACAGTGACGAGCCCATTGTATGCCGATTATCTTGCATTTCGATTGTGATAGTTTTCCAACACGAATAACCGTGACTAACTATCACAACGAAAATGCAAGATGATTACCATGCAACGGACTCGTAACTGATGTCTTGTCGGGAGAATCGCGAGACGATGAATCGCGTGAACTCTGCCCGAGTTCTAACTGGCAATCTGTGGAATACTAACTTGTCTGCGAATTCGGATATCACTTCCACTATCTTAACTGCATGATAGTAGTCGTCCATTGCAAGCACACACGCTCCCACTCGTCGACAGTAAAATTTATACGACAGCGAAAGACAGGAAGACGCAACGTTGGCTGTTGATTTGTGCACTGCTAACATTGAAGTGGACAATCTGTCCTGTACTAGGAAAATCCATCAAAATGTATGTAATTTCATCCTCATCACAGCGGTATGTCCTCACAACGGGATTGATGCTATGTGTATAAACGGGTTGTGGTTGTGCATTAAAAGCTCTAACAGCCTCTACAATAGGAACATCTTGAAAATCTGAGAAAAGGCAGAATTTCGGATGTGCAAACAAAAATAAAAAGACAGTCACCACCAATGCGCGTTGTTGCCGTGCAGATCGCTGTAGAAGTGAATAATCAGCGGCTGCCCATAATCTTTCGATAAGCTTCCAAAATCAGGCATAGTCGGCAGCGGTTGTCGATTGGGTTCCATGGAAATTCCCTAAGATTGTACAATGTCCATGAAAAAAGCAAACAAATCACTATTTCTGACGAAGAATAGCTAGAAAAGAGCCAATAAACCCTGCAAATATCGCGTTGGTGCAAACGCTCCTCCCCATTACGTGCTTCACGGGCAAAATCTGACCCGATGCGCTTTGGCTGCAATAGCGGCAACCGGCGCGAAAGCAGCTACCGGCTGCAAAAGCGACAGCCGGCGCGGTTTGGAGGCTCCCTATGAAATAAGCCTGTTTCGGCACTCATGTGGTTTGGCCGCGTACGTCATTTTGCTTATACATTCGCATAGAGTAACGATTTACATAATCTGATGCGACTATTTGCAGAAGTATGGTACTTACAAATGAGGGTGCAGAAAGAAAACAGAACAAGTCTTGCTGCAATCATAGCCTCTTGTGCAATCAATGCGAATTAGTAACTAGTAAGTTCATTGAGCTATCTGTCATTACGTTATACTGAGCTTTCTTCTTTTTTTTGTTGGCATTGATTTATATTTGACTACTTACAAATCTTTACATGAGTGTGGTTCTCATTTAGGGATGATGTGGTGCATTCCATAGCAACTAGCTATACTCCATAGCATGTTTACA